TCTCCCAGAAAGCAACTCACGGACGGGGATGATATGGGAACACCCACGCAAAACGGAAAGGTATAGAAGAAGTCCTCGGCGTACTTCGGCGGAGGGGGGGGGGGGGCATTTTGCACTTTCATTGCTTCACTACTTCCGATTTGCCTGTCTCACTCTGATAAAACCCGACTCCTGTGAAGCTGGAGCAAGCTCGTCGAGCCATCATGGTAAAACCTGTCAACTCAAGAAAGGCTCTCTAGATGGGTCGACACGTCGATGGGAAGTAGCAGTAGTGCAAAATGCCCCCCCCCCGTCGCCGAACTGCCCCGAAGTCATCAAAGATAACGAAATGAGTCCTTTCTTTTTTGAGGGTCCGACTGTGTCACCGAAAAAACAGTCTTCGTCCCTGAACGACTTTGCTGATGGCATCGATTTGTCTCCAATAAAAAGGAGTGGATTGAAGGTCTGAACCTTAGCAGCACTTCTGTAGATGTGCTGAGATCGATTTGTGATGTCTGTAGGTCCCATTGAGAGGCAAATCGCGCACTCTTCCTATTTCTACCTCAACACCGATGCCCGGTATACCAAGTCCTAAAGCACAGAGGAAACGACCTAGGGAAGAATCCACTCCACTACCGACAACTGATGATCTCGCAAAATCACCATCTCGCAAAAAAGCAGTAAATGCCGGGAAGTAAGTTCATTTAAATACTCTTTTAAAGCTCCTTTCATTTTTCTGTCTAGATTGCGGACGCGCTCTCAGCTAGCGACGACGCCGAGTGGATCACCTGCCAAAGTGAAGACTGCATCGAAACCGCCTTCACCACCCCGCTTAACGCGAAGTGGAAGGTCACGAGGGAAAGGCCAATGAAAGGCTATCTTATATGTCATTTATGTATGTACAATGAAGTATTGCCATGATAAGAACGACTTTCGATATGATGCGGATTTTCCGAGAGAATACTTGAGCGTGAAACATTTATTACTTTGTCCACCCGTTTTTACAAAATACACAGCCAATTTATGCCTAAACATTTACAAATGCTAGTGATTTGAAATAGTATATCATGTCTAAACAACCCAATAGACTAGCTATGCTTAGCAGTTTGGAGGTTAGCTTTGGCCTTAGTTCCTCCAGCTAAGCGCTCCTTTTGCACTACAGGATCTTCTATTATATGCAAGTAGTTGTGGTTCAAGAAACGACAAAGCTGAAATAGATACTTTTGATACTTGAACTTTTGAAACTATGTACGGTAGGTAATAAAAGTGAACCTGTAGTGATTGTGCCGATAAGTTTGTGAAATGACATGCAAAGAGCAAGAGATTCCGCGGTTGAACATGCCATGCGAACCGCATAAACACGGACGAATACATGCACAGGGCTACTGTCATGTTACCGGAGATCATATCGGGATTTTTCTGAAACATCCCGCAGTTATCTTCTGCATCAGTAGTAGCTAGGATCCACAACAGACCTTCAGATCAGCTATTGCCGCAAGTGGAATACCCCAATTAGCAGCTGGTCCCCAGAAATGTGTTGACATGAAGTAGTTGGCCCATTCTTTGAAGGTATATCGGCGAAAGTAAGATGTTACTGCCGAGGCAACTTTCGCCATATCTGAAAAGAGATAGTGAAGTTAAATGTGTGAACGAAACAGATTACGGCGATACGAGTGGCGATAGGATTACGACACGTAAGTAAGGATAGAGAGACTGGACCTCTGTATGGGGCATAAGGCGCAACGGCTCAGTTCGGCGAGGAGACGGGGACATTTCGCGCTTTCGCAACTCTTGTGAAGCTGGAGTGAGCTCGTCCAGTCGCCATGGCGAAACTTGTGAACACTTGTAAGCTCATGAAGCAGCTCTCTAGATGGTCGACACGTCGATGGGAACAACAAAAGTGCAAAATGCCCCCGCCCCCGGTCGCCGAACTGCCTCGATTTGAACATAGAGCAAGAACAACTGTTGCTGTATCTAGAAACGTAGCTCGTTTTGTCGCAAGTGTCCCTCCGACTTTGCGAAAAATTGCGCCTCATACCCCAGAAAATGGACTGCGGATGAAGGGGCGTGTCAGGGCAGCATGGGTGCATGCCAGTTGTTGAAGCGGATATGCGACAACTGGTAGAAAATGAGTGGTACGAACGATATGATGCAGTAGGCCTTCTTGCCTCAATAACTGGTGGAGAATGGATATGGCACCGCGCCAAACTCATCGCCCGCCTAGTACGCCCCTTCGTTCGTGCGAACTAGACTGTAGGCTTACGAAAAACATGTGAACGCATTAGCTGATGCAAGCCAGCCTTACCGATGAGTGTAGGCCCGCAAAGGCAGAATGAAGTAGGTAACTGGTACTTACTGACGATCTAATGAAATGTATCAGGAAGAAATGGGATGAGATAGATGATAAGACAAAGAAAAATCAATCCATATGATAAGGGGAACAACATTTTGTCGGCACGCAATAGCGAATCTTTTTCACCAAGAACAGATTGGCTAACGCCGTTTGGACTCCAGCAACTTCGGCTCTTGGGCTCAGCCTTAGCGGAGCGCAGGTAATCGTAGTGTCATCCATTAGCGCCAGCGGCAAGAGTGAATGTCATATTCGTAATCAGGATGTTAAACTACCCCTACATACAAGTTTTTAGCGGATT